TTGACTTTAATCTCCTCAGAAACATTCTGCTAGTCCTGATAGACACTGAAGGAAGTCCTTTTATAGTAGTAAAATACATTTTTGTTGTTTTTCCGTGTAACTGTATTAATAGTATCACATGGCAATGAGAGAGAAGGAAACCACAAGAAGCATGTTCCAGAACGCAGGGCGTGTCATCAGCTTAAGGTGCAGGCCCTACTGTGCTCAAACTAAACTCCCCCCCCCATTACTACAAAAAGTAACTATTCCATCCAAGTCCTCATTGGACACAAGCAAGAAAATGATGCTTGTACACATAGGAAGCTGTAGAAATGTTCTGTTATTTGGCAAGGGGTGTCCAATCTCTACTTCTTACCTTATTAACTTTCAAGACAGAGAAATCATCAGAGAAATAAAAGGGATGTGGGGGCTCAGTGGCTAAGACGCTGAACTTGTCAATCAGAAAGGTTGGCAGTTTGGCAGTTCGAATCCCTAGCGCCGCGTAATGGACTGAGCTCCCGTTACCTGTCCCAGTTTCTGCCAACCTAGCAGTTCCAAAGCATGTAAAAAATGCAAGTGGAAAAATAGAGACCACTTTGGTGGAGGAGTAACAGCATTCCGTGCGCTTTCGGCATTTAGTCATGCTGGCCACATGATCACGGTGAGTCTTCGGACAGCGCTGGCTCTTTGGCTTTGTAACGGAGATGAGCACCGCCCCCTAGAGTCAGAAACAACCAGCACATATGTGCGAGGGCAACCTTTACCTTTTATCCAACACTGTGTCTTTTAATTAGAGAAATGGGGTGGAACTGGTTGGCAAAAAATGCAGGTAGTGTTCGACTTGTGACCACAACTGAGCCCAGAATTTCTGTTGCTAAACAAGGAAATTCTTGAGTGACTTTTCCCCCATTTTACAACCTTTCTTGCCACAGTCATTAAGTGAATCGCTGCAGCAGTTAAGTTAGTAATACAGTTGTCAAATGAACCTGGCTTCCGCATTGACTCTGCTTGTCAGAAAGTTGCAAAAGGGATCACATAACCCTGGGACATTGCAACCAGTCATAAATATGAATCAATTGCGAAGGGTCTGAATTTTGATCACATGACCATGGGACCGTTGCCGTGGTTGTAAGGGTGTAAAACGTCATAGCTCACTTTTTTCAGTGCTGTTGTAACTTTGAACGATCCCTAAATGGACCGTTATAAGTCGAGAACTACCTGTATGAGGCAGAATGTAATAATGAGATGGATTCCCAGGAGGGAAAGGATGGATTCCAGAGGAGTAAGATATCATGTGTGAGAGAACGAGGGTGAAGACAGCCCCTCCCTAACAGTTCACAGATATATTGTAGAGGCAGGCAGTAGTGTGTGCCGTTTGGCAAGATTTTGTCTATTGATGCAAAATAATAATAAATCATAATAATAAACAGGTCAATAAGAAAGACAAAAAAGTCTGGATAGTGGATGTGACAGTGCCTGGAGACAGCAGACGAGAAGAGGAAGAACTGGAGAAGATAACAAAATGCAAAAACCTACAAATAGAACGACTATGGCAAAGGCAAGCAAGGGTAGTACCAATAGTAATAGGCGCCTTGGGTTCAGTTCCAAAACAACTGGAGCACCACTTGAACGCCATAGGCATTGACAAATTTGCCATCAGTCAATTGCAGAAGGCGGATTTACTTGGAACAGCTTCCATCCTGTGGCGCTATCTTTAACACCATCAAAAATCCAGATCTGCCTCTTCCAAAAATGCCAAACCCAGTCTGAATGTCTGGCTGACTGTGCGAATAATAATAATAATAAAAATGATAATAATAATAATAGGGGGAGGGGGAGGAGGAGGAGGTGGTGAAGGAGAAGGAGAAGGAGAAGGAGAAGGAGAAGGAGAGGAAGAGGAAGAGGAAGAGGAAGAGGAAGAGGAAGAGGAAGAGGAAGA